TACCTATTACTACCTACGTTGCCAATTTCACTTCTTCCAGGCGAAGTTAGTCTAGAAGCTAGTTTCCCAGATCAGTGTTACGTTTGCGCACTAAGTGTCCACAATTAGTTAGGATGTGCAGAAGTGTTTCTTCCGTTATGGAATAAAATCGGCACATCCTTGAGTTGCTAAGTCCGAGGATGGACATGTGCTTTTTTAGACAATCGTGTCCAGTCAGGGCTCTTGCTAGAATACACAGTTTATTATTACCTAGTCCCAGGGCTTTTGATTAAGATTTTAGAATGTTTTAAGCAACGGCGCAGCTAGAGCTCCAAGCTATGGCAAGCCCAAGATATAAATTGATAAAAATATAGATTGTTGTTTTTAGCAGTTTTATAAAAATACACCAATCTTGATCTGTCTCCACGCTTCAGTTTCATATTCAGTGCTGTCAAGGACGTGTTTAACAAAGCACACAGAAGTCATACCACTGCTAGATAGATTGTATTACATGTCAGCAATTGCATAGCTTCGGTGGCTTTGAAGAAAGCCGTTTGGGTTTGTTTAAGCGAAAGAAAAAAAATATTTACATCCAATACAATACAAGAACAAAAGTAAAACACGAACAAAGTACAAACAAACTATGTTCAAATTAAAAAAAAATTATTTACATTCTAATGGATAAGAGATAAGATAAGTGGAATCGTCTCGCTTTCTTATGGAAAGATTTAATTACGTCCACGTAAAATGTTGGTGAACGTTTTAATTGTACCAATAACTGTTTTTAATTGCGATAATTGATAAGTCTGAAATACACTCTTAACCATTGAAGTAATATGTACTAACATACTAGAACAGCTATTTCAAACAAAAAATGTGCGCTACTCTGTGTTCCCGCGGTTGGTTTTTTTATCATAGAGTAAACATAGTTAGAATGATCAATAGGTAATATATAGATTGCACTGTTAAATAGGTAAATTATATCGAGAACAATTTTTTAAATTTTGTCATTTATTTTGTATATTACATTTGCTTATTTAATATAATATTACATAATATTATATCACAACTACATTTTTATGATATTTTTATCTCAATATTTTAAAAGTTATCTATCTCAAATATCAAAAAAACATACTAAATATATGTTCAACAAAACTTATTAATATAACATTTAAATTACAAATATATTTATTTAAATTAGAATAAGAGTCGTTTATATTGACTGATGTGGAAACCTAAAAATAAAATATAAGAATAATTAGCAGATTTAAATATAAAAAATTTGGCCTAATTATGATAACTCATACGTTTCTACAAAAAAATGTGTTATTATACACATTTATATTACATATATATATATATATATATATATATATATATATATATATATATATATATATAATATAAATATATATAATATATATATATATATATATATATATATATATATATATATAATATTCGTCCTATACTTAAGTACCCACAGAAATGTCGCATCTGAACAAATTAATTTCATAATCTATATTACGTGACACGAGATAGCGTCTTAGGAATAATTTGTTTTATTACTAATTTATAATACTTTTTTTATTGATTAAGTATCTTATTAACCAATGAAAAGTAATTCCTCGGTTTTTACTGACATTTCTTGAATTATTTGTGCAATATCTAAGTACGCACAACATATTTTTATCACGAGATTTTTTTAAATCAACACAACACGTGTCAACTCTACAAGCGCCTAGCGAGTGACTGATTAAAGTGCGGTGTATGCACTGCAGTTGAGTGGAACATAGTAGCTGAATGCAGTGTCGCCTCTAGTACGTAGTACATAATAGCTCAATGCTCTTAACCTTGTGTATTATCTCAACAAAGTTTAAAGATTTCCTCTCCGATTATCACTTTAACACACTTCAATTCATCACGAGGAACACTATTATCCTCCATTTTCATTAAAAATCTTTAAAAAAAGCATAAATTTTGAACTCGTAATATTAAATCGCTTAAGATAAGCACACAGAGTAAATAAACATTGAAACGTGAAATGAACTTGCAAACGTGTTGCCCGCGCGCCTCCGCTTTTAACAAATTTATTACCAAAAGCCTGGCTTTAAATCTCTATACTAATTGCTATATATACAATCGTAGTTATATTTCATTATAGAATATTTTGCCGTAGGTTAGAAAGAGAGCGATCGTCTTCTCGAAAGCCCGGTAAAAAAGCCCACGCGAGCGAGGGAGACAACTATTAGCTCTATTAAAACTCATTTTTTATGACAGCAGCAGTATCGCTAATTTCTGTATATATTACTCTATGCGCTAAGGCAATACGAGGTCATCGGTCGACATGTCGCTGCTTTGCACGAATAACTGCACAATCCAAAAACACACATTTTACAGGGTAGCTATTTGAAAATTAAACAAAATATTTACTGTCATAACTTTTCATGTTTTTGATCATTAGAAGAGTAGAATATATAAATCGAAAGTATATTAATCAAGGTTTGATTATAATCTAAAAATTCAGGTTTTGAGCTGCGAATACCTTAATTAATAATTAAAAACTATGACTTATTCGACTTGTTACAAAATGAGTTTTGGTATATTATCATGAATAGGAACATAAATCAAAATAATACATATGAATAGTTCTCAATTTTAGTTTTACAATGGCATAACTGGTAATATGATCTACAAGATATTAAAAAAAATCTGTAATAATGACACAATTACGATAAAGATAATATTAATGAAAAGTGTGTTCAAACACAAATCAATTTATTTGTTTTATGCTGAAGCCTTCGGAACGATTTTTTCTGTAGAGTAACACATTTCTGTTTATCATATTTAGAGATTAAACAAACCTGTAGAAAAGTATTTTTATTATTATTTATTATTATTATAGTCCACATTTTATAACAATTTGCAGTATGTCTATTACTGTCATCAAGCTACCAGTACGCAGATTAATATGATCACGTTAACATTAAAATATTAGGAATCACAAACATAAAAGAAATCGAACCAACAATACCTATCTATTACGCTTCTTAAAAGTAATTAGGAAAAATAACATTGTGAACCATGAACATAAATAAAATTCTAACAAAGTTTTGCTTTTTAAAAATATTTAGGAACATTATGAACCATAAACATAAAAAAAATCAACAAACTAAAAATAATAAGGAACATGATGAACCATGCTATGCAATAACAAACTTGTGTTTATTTTAAAAATAATTCGGTTAATTAAAAACAATAACCAAAAAAGTCTATCAAACATTTGACAACTACCGCATAATCAGCCTTCTTCAGGTACACTTAATAATAAAAATTAGAGATTCTCAAAAAACGGTTTATAAAATCTTGGTACAATATTTTTCCTAATAAGGTCTAGCAAACCCTTCTTCTTCTTCTCACATATTGGGATTTTTTTCTCTGTATGCCTTTTTAACAGTGATATTATTGGCAGTGTTTCTTGTCTTACCAATTTTATCTATCATGACTGTTTTAAACTCTGTGTCCTCGTACGATGTTTTATAGGAAAAACAGTAATTAGAGTCATTAGATTCCACCTTTAAAATTTTGACGTCTCCTAGCTTTAACGTTTCGTTGTCCATATTCTTAGAAAAATTTTTGCCTATCGATGAAGCCAACGCTTTTATATGAAAAAAATATTCGTGTATTAATTCATTTACTTGATAGGCTTTACCAGATTTTTTTAGCATTTCTTATAATGTGCACATACTGGTCAGGTGTATATATGGATCCAGACTTTAGAGCTCTACCTACTCCTCTTTCAATAAGGGAGTGGACATTATCACCCTCATTTTGAGTGTGCCCTTTTATTAAGTATTTGTGGGTTATTGAATTAATAAAATCGAGATGGTAAACTGCATATACATAAAGAGCTATTATGTATGTATGTTGCTGGTCTCAGCAATTGTCGGAATAAAAAACTATATCTAATTTTGAGTCTAGTTCTTCAGCTTTGAACTTTAAATTCTGTATGTATTTAAGCAAACAAGATCCTATTTCTATAGCACCGCGTTTAGCTTCACCTTCATACCAGACATAACATGCAGTGTCTTTAGATTTGATATCGCATATTGTGAAATTATACGTATTTAATTTTGATACGTAATAAAAGTTTGATGCATCTCCTCTAGGACAAGGCATTGCAGCCTGAAGATCATAAACTGCTACAATACAATTATCAGGAGTAAATTTTTTATCATCTTCTTTATTTTGCCTTGACAAATCCTTCTCTTTTAAATGCCTATCAAACTTTTCTTTCGGTTCTACCTTATCGTTTTCTGTGGCATTACTGTATGATGTACAGTCCTCACACTGATCTTTTTTTGGTTGGAAAAAGCTAATGTTGAATTCGTTGTTGAAGATCCTGTAATACATAAGGTAATTGGCGCTTGGTAGACTTTTTGACTGACAGTCGAGTTCGTAATCCCTATGTAAGTCTGCTACAGTTTTCCCACCATCAATATAAAGCCTTTTTTGTGTCTGTACGACAGTAGTGACTTTCAATTTTTGGAATTGAGTTGATGTGTTGAATTACACTTTCTTTAATAGCCGGATCTAAATGAAAATGTTGACTGTGTTTGCCACGATTATCCAAATCTAACATTCCACATGAATTCTGCTTCTTTTGAATAACAGTTCGGATAAAGGCATCGGTTATATCTAGCGTAGCTTTAAAAAATACTTTACACACTCGAATTCTCTCATTATCAATGGTCAAATAAAAAGCGTTGTTTTTCCCTCGGTTACTGTTATGCATCTTGTATGAGTATCGTGGTTGAATGACGGAAAGATGGCGTAAAATAAACTCCCGTTGCCTTTGCAGATCTCCCATGCCCCAAAAGCTTTCAAAAATTTCTTTGCGCTGTGATTCTGTAATGTTTTGTGTACATTTTTGTTTGCATTTATCAGTACACGGTGTTTTGAGAGACTTTGCAGGCACAACGGTTTTTCCCTTTTTTAGAATTGGATATTTATCAGAATTATTTACCAGAGTTTCTTAGGATTTTTGCCTTGTTACGCAAACAGTTATTGGGTGTAGATTTTCTTTTCCGTCCTTTATTTGAGCTGATATTATCGATACAACCAAGATGTGTAGAATTGGTATCAGCAGTAAGTTCTAAAGAAGTTGGAGGTGTAGAACATGAAGTTGAAGCTACTGGCTCAATCGAATCATTGCGAGAAATATCTTCTTCGATGCAGGTAGCTCTTGTAAGAAATGTGTTATTGTCTACCCTAGACTGAACCACTGCTGTTAAACGTTCATTATTCAATTCATCGTCTGATGAACTCTCGGAATCTAAGGAACTAGATCCATCGCTTGAGCTGGATGAACCAATTCCATCGCTTGAGCTGCTACTAGATTCTGTTTGTATGGGGGCTATCGGCATAGGTATAGGTGAACTTGTTTGGTTTATGGTGAAAACATCGTTTCTGAAATTGTCATATTGTTTTTCATTTAAATCTACTCCACTCAACAAATTTTTAAAAACTTCTCGGTTTTTATTTTTCAAAAGAGACCTCTTTGTAGAACAGGGTGTATCGATATCTACATAGTCAGGATCCTTCACACTATCATCTGAACAAAAGTCTTCACTAACATTAGATAAATCTTTATTTTCAATATTATCGTTAGGCTTGGGAGATAAAATGAACTGTTCCTTTTCAGTGAATTGTATGGAAGTTGAAGTCGTAGGTATTTCATTCTGTATAACAGATTTACTATCTTGTTTGAGATTCCGGATTATTTGTAGGGTACGGGGATTCGGCACTGTAAATAATAAGAACATTTCATAAGCCATACTATGCCATGGCATGTCATGCCAGAACAACATCACAATACAACACACCACACCACACCACTCCATACCACACCATGCCATGCCACACCACACCGTTCAGTCCTATCATACTACAACACAACACAACATAGCATCATGCCTGTAATACCCGAAGCCGGCTATGTTTTTTCTGCTGTTCATCGGCATAATTTCTAACGCCGAGTTGCTAAATTAAGAATGTTCTAAATAAGAAATGACGATTACCCCGTTTGCTGCTTGAACCAGGATTCGAACCCGGGACATCGCGGTTAAATAAGCCACGCAAGAGGCAGCAAAAAAAACACCAAAACACGTTATAATTACATTATATCGTTAAAAGTAACTTAACTTGCTTTCGGTTCTAAATTGTTTAGCTTTATTTTTAAGCAATAATAACCTATTTCATAAACATGTTAAAACATTTTGTTGTTTCTATCTTCAAGAAACAAATAAAACTTAATAAGTATTATTGTCTTACTTACTTTTTCATGAAGAATGTTGTAGCACTAAATGCAGCACTTTTTAAGAAAAAAAATGATCGAAAACAGTCACAATTTTAACTTAAATAATCAATCAACTCAAAATGAATGAATATTGCAGAAAATATTACTAAACTTTACAATTTAAACACACGATTATTTGGTAATGTGCTATTATTCCCGAAAGTTTTGACGTAGACACGCGAAAACAGTAATAGCAACTGGCGATCGTCGACTATTGCACAAATATGGCGTGATAAATCAACCAATCACATAACGACATTTTTACGCGCCACTACGTCAGTTTTGCCGTTATGAATGTGAGTCTTACTGACCATAAAATATGGACTATTTTGCAAGTGACTGTGTTATAAACCATTATTTTCAATATTTTGGTTTGTGCGGTTATTCGTGCAAAGCAGCGATGTGTCGAACAGTGGAGTTCGCGGGAAATTTGAAATAGCTTGAAACATTTTACGAGTTATTTTATTAGTTGATATTATTGATTGATTCAGGTTTAATAAGGCAAGCCCGGCTTTTCGGCTTTAATGGAAGTTTCGCCACTGGTTTTAAGCCTGATGTATCAGACCAGATCAGAGTGATTTATTTTGATAAAGAGTTGCAAGAGCCAATCGGGCCAGGCTTTTTGAGATTCGACAAAATGGCTCGAGTCTAAATTGTGTATTCTTTGAGCCCTCCCGTGGGAACTTGTCGGCCAGTTAATTGCATACTACCCGAAACCCATCTCAAAACGACCATGTTGTTACAACCCAGAGCGTTTAGACGGTTCACTTTGTGTCTAACTAGCTTCGAGATTCCTGAGTTTGATCTCGGCGCTAGCAGTGCTGCTTGACTATCAGAGTTTATATAGGTAATACGCAGTGGCGGCTCTAGGACGGTGCGAGCGGTGCTAGCGGTGCGATCGCACCGGGCGCCGTCATCGGAAAGGCGAATCAACCGAAACGCTACTATCGGGAACTAGTCACCGACTCATCACTAACATTCCGTTTTGTTGACACTAATGAAGTAGAGAAGTAAGAAAGAAGAAAGAGATTATTTTGTTGCTTACAAGTCGGTAAGGGACTCTTCGGGAGAAAAACAAGAGTTTGACCAAGACATGAATGATTGTCGAGGTCAATGATACGGATAATGGAGCAAACATGGCAGGAATAATTGAAGGTGTCAAAACCAGAATTCTGAATCAATATTCTCGAGCGTTTTTCAATATATGTGGTAGTCACACTTTGAATTTATTGATAGCTGATGCAGACAAAACTTACGGTAAATCAGCTTCTTTAGTCGGATTTCTCCAAATCTGTTTGTTTTATTCTCTGGATCAACAATACGACAGGAAGAAATTTCCAAGCATATTGAAGGATTATTGCTGAAAAAAATTTGCGAAACTCGCTGGGAGAGTGGAGTTTCCAGCCTTACTGCTGTTCCAGTGTTGAATCTTCATAAAGATACAAATTACTCACTTACAGCATCAGAAGTCTTGAGCTCTATGTTTTTTTAACACTGTCTGTAGCACAATGGCTTAAATAAAAGATGTCAAACAAAGTTATTAACTATTATTATTTCTCATCTATATAAGTTGTCACCGCAGCAGGGCAAACACAGTGGCGTTTTTATAGAAGTAGGTAAGCCAGCATGTGGCACACCTTATGGAATTACAAGTAAGTTGCCGGCCTTTTAGGAAGAACTATTAGGCTCTTTTCTTGAAGGTCCCTAAGTCGTATCGGTCTGGAAAAATTCCTCAAAGAGGTCATACGAAGAAGAAAGCTCCCAGTCAAATGTACAGTGGTTGACCACTAAACACCCAGGTGCCTTAGGTGCTGGAATAAATCCGAGCACTGAGAGCACTCCCCGTGGTAAATGCGATAAATAAGGAATAAAACATCCATTCGCAACGTCAGTGAATCGAGCTGATCAGAAATAAATAGGTTGTCGACGATTCGTGCCGCTCTGCGCTGGATGCGGTCAAATGTTTACTTTTACTGAAGTGCCCCGGCCCAGAGATAAGAACAGTATTCCATGTGAGGCCGAACTTGCGCTTTGTAAAGTTGCAAGCGATGTGCCGCCATGAAATACTAACAAGCTCTGCTGAGCACGCCTAGCTTTTTAGAGGCTAACTTAGTCTTCCCTTCCAAGTGACGAAGAATCTGCACGCTATTCGATATGTCGATGATTCGGATCCCAATGCTAGCTGAGGCAGCAAGGGCAGTGTTCTTAAATTAAAGAGATACAACAAAGGGGTTATTTTTAGCTGTAAACGCGCAAACTTGTATCTGTCCATCCTCGGACTTAGCAACTTAGGGATGTGCCGATTCTATTCCATAACGGAAGAAACACTTCTGCACATCCTAACTTATTGTGGACACTTAGTGTGCAAACGTAACACTGATCTGGGAAACTAGCTTCTAGACTAACTACGCCTAGAAGAAGTGAAGTAGGTAGTAATAGGTAAGCAATTCCTTCAATTTATTGAAGACTAGCTGTTCCCCGCGACTTCATCCGCGTGTAGTTTATTGTCTATTGAATTTCATGGGTTTTATTTTTTTGCGCCCCAATTCTTTTTCCAAAATGAAAGTGGCCTAAGTTTCTCCTTATAACATCAGCTATCTCCTAGTGAAAGTCCTGACAAATTGGTTCAGTCATTTCGGAGCTTAGCCGGAACAAACAGAAAACAGACACAAAAATTATAAAAATTGTTTTTTGTTTTTAAAATATTTCATATAGCTGTGCTCCGCGGTTTCACCCGCGTATGTCGAATTATTCCTAACGTTTCAAATAATTTTTCAGATGCGACATCTGGATATATATATATAATATATATATATATATATATATATATATATATATATATATATATATATATATATATAATGTAGGTGTAGATGTAGACATAGGGCTTAGCAGTGACCTATAGCCATAGGAGCGATAATAGATCGTATTATCGCAGACATATTTGCCTTTTATACATGTATTGTTGCTCGCACGAAGAATAAAAGTGATAATTGTAGTACATTGGCAAGTTAGGTGCAGTTAACTTCAAACGAGAGTAGTAGCGTTTATAATAATAATGTCCTCCAGACCGAATTTCGGCCACGGCGGCCTGCCTCAACGGAGGCTATCCATCGGCGCAGGACAGGATTATAGTGCCCAAATGTATACGCAAGCACAGGTGCACTCTCTATTCCCTCACTCTCATAATCCGATGGGACGGTAAACCGACACAACCGGAGAGAGATCAGGCGCAGGACCAACGGCTTTACGTGCTTTCCGAGGCATGGGGGTGAGACACCGCCAACTTCCTGACTCCGGGGGCAGTTACTGAGAATTTCTTGACAGAAAACTCAATAATTGATTTTTTGGCCCGACCAGGGATTCGAACCCAGGACCTCATGATCAGCAGTCGCACTACTACAACCACTAGACCAACGAGACAGTCTACTTCTTCTAGGCTAGTACATAAAATTATCGTATGCCTTATTTTTGCTTTTTATTAGGTCAGGATATGAATAAAAATGTCCTTATATACTTATAAAATAAATACCTGTTTCATATGCTACGTGGTTGGGTGGACTTGTGGTCAAGCATTTACTTATGATAAGAAAAAAGATGTTTTTTTTTAATGTTCGTCTTGTATTTCTATTACCTTTTTCTTCGAGGTTGGTTTCAAGTTTCAACCGCAGCCACACAGTTACTGCCTTTAAATAATTAAATATATTACAATGTTATTTAATAAAGGGTTTATTTTAGTAGTGTAGACTTTAGCACATTTGATAACAAAGAGACTTGTATGTAGTGTACTTGACGTCTGATTGCAGAGGGATAAGTTCAAATCCTAACTTAACTGAAAATGCGTTCAAAATGCACTATTGGATTTGTATTTGTTATTTCAGACCTTATCGCAATACAATTATTGTTATATCGTTTTCCGGTAAGTTGAACGCATTTACGTTCGCATGTTCACTGGTCGAAGTTGTAGTAGAAATCGGTCCTGAGAAAGCCATTTATATCTGGTGAAATCCGTCTTGTGGTTTTTGCGTGAATCGTGAACAAATATATTTTTCTACTGATTTATTATATGTATATTATATAGATATATTATATACGTAGTATATAGTATACACAGTGGGGTATAGACCTCCTCTCATTTCAAGATAGTAATTTAGCAATATTTATTTGTAATATTTAGTAATATTTATCATCACCGAGCACGTGGTAAATCAGCACTTAAATTACAATTAACAATTTGATGGGTGCCGGTGGGGATCGAACCCACGTTACTTGCATACTGAAATTATGGCAAGCACTTAGTCCCTGAGTTGTCACGGTTTATATTTTACTGCGATTACTTATTTTAAATAATATATGAATGAATAAGCTAAGAAATTATATTATTTTAGCAAGTTTTTACATACTAATTAAAACAAGTTTAATATTCAACGTTCGTTCCACATTACAAAAAAATTCTCTATCTTATAGTACAATAAAAATAATTATCTTCGAAGTTGGTATGCGCGACACCTGCCGCAAGGCATTAAAATTATTGAATTTTACTTGCTGATTAAAATAAAAAAATGTATACCACGTGCATGTATAATCTTAAAATAGAGAGCAAGAATAATAATGATTATTCTTTATCAAAATTAGACTCGATTAATTGTGTATTTTAGAATGAAATGTCAAATTTCACTATTGATTAGGACTATTGGGTAGATTCACGATTGCGCATGCCTGACTAATAGCGTACTCAAATAGACTTGAAGGGCTGTGACTTTGTTTCTAGTAGATTTTTATATTAGGACGTGATTGTTTCCGTTTATTAAGAAAGGATATGTTCTATTATTTTATTTTATACGTGAATTAATTTGCGACTTTCGCTAAAATGGGGAACACTCAGGCGAATGAAAAACAATCTAAAACCGGAAAATCACCAGCAAAAGGTAAACATTTTATGCGTAATTTAAACAAAAAAGGATCAATAAAGGAGAGTAAAAAACGTGCAAGAAAAAAGAGCAATGCGAAACGAGAGACATTCGAAAGAGAGTTCGATAAAACACCAGATTCTGATAACAATGAAACGATCGAGGCATCCGATAACGATACGGCCGAGTGCGTGTTCAAAACATCGTGCCGAGGAGCGGGAGGTGTGGAAACAAGCAGTGTGCAGTCGGAGGTAACGGTGTCCAGGTGCGAGGCGCGCGCGCGGTCACCGACCCGTGACCAGTCGCAGCCGCCTCTCAACGATTCCAACTCGGAGTCAGTGTTCACAGAACCCCTCACGCCGCTCGCCGTTGAGCTCAACCAGTGTTACTACTCCGCAGAAAGCGACAGCGCTCATGACGAGCCTTTCCACACCCTCACGCCAACCCAAATAAATGTGCTCGTAGATGTTTCGCCAGAAAACGACTGGCCGGTTGTAAACATGCCACACGCCGACGCTATATCACCACTTACACACGACATAGAAAAAGAAATTAAAAGTGACATTTTCGATGAAAATTGTGAAACGAGTGTTAACGAAAGAACAATGGGTTCTATATTATCAAGGTCGAAACAGGATAATTTGGAGCCGAATGAGTGCAGCCACGATTTCCTTGAAAATCGGCTGAAATCATGTCCCGGACAAACTTCTTTCACGCTCTCCAAACATCGTAAGGTTGACTTGCCACCGGTGACCGCGTGCGAGCGATCTCTCACCGTGATCGATAACGGTCAGTCAAAAGTAATTTTCTTTTTGTTATCTAAGATATGAAGCAAATCTTAAACCCTATAATATCAAAAAACTTATGTAAACTTATGTAAAACAAATGTCGTGATTTAACAGATTTTACATTATTAATAATTTAAGTGATTACTATAATTAACATCGCTCATACTTATAAAGTTAAATTCAAGTATCTATCGGTAGTTATTGTTATTTAGAAAAGAAACCGCACTCTGCTACTATCAGTTTGCTCAAAATATTTTTTAAACTACTTGTTTGCGATTTGCTTGTTTACAATCTGATTAGAAGTAATTCTAAAACACGTTTTCAGCATGAGCATAAAAAATATAGCAACTATCATAATTGTAAAAATTGTACAATAATTGTAAAAAATCATGATTGCATGAAGCATGATTTCTACGAATATTAAGAAAATATTTCAGTTTAAAACACATTAGTACTTGTTAGAGAGCGAACGGAAAAAACATAGAGAGTTGTTGACTTGTACAGTATAGGTAGTACAGCCTAGCCTTCTCTTTAATCTTTATTTTTCACTAACATCACAGACCTACATTAATTCTAATGAAAAGTGTAACTAAGAGCAAATAAAATTACACATAAAAAGTTAAAAAAGGATTTTTCCCACTAAGTATATGAAACAAAGATTTAAATCTTTGATATTAAAACGTTTTGTAATTGACTGTGACATTACAATTGAAACCTATCATAAAATGTTATAAGTATAGCTATTATATTCAATTAAAACAATCGCACTTTAGGCAAAATTACTATAATACCCACCATTTTTATTAAACTACCGATTATCTTAAGATTTAATTTCATTTCTATCACGCATGAAGACGTTTTTCAAATATATTTTAACTTTTCTTTATATCTACATGTACTTCGCTATCCTAAGTATTATTATTTATTCTGTGGCCAGAGTAACCCTTACCTGTTTTACATACGGTTTTAATTTAATATACATATATTCAGTTCCTTGTCATAAGCCTTTTGGAATTGGAATATATAAGTAAATTAACCTTATGATATAGATATATAGACAGATAGATTTAGCCCTAAATTGCCGCTAGTAAAATTAAGTAAATATACGTATAAGAATGAGTAAATAGACTAAAATTAAAGTGCTGCAATGTAACTAATTCCGGGACAGTATGTAGTCTTCTGCTTCATCAGCCCTTAAAAGTCTGTTATTGGACAACTGGACAAGAGCCCCTTTCGTAGGGAAGCTAGGGAACCACGCTCGATAGCGGTATTAAGTAGTAGTAAATGATATTAGTACCAGACGTCTCACGAAGCTGTTGATCACTGTTCTTTGTCGCTGGTCTGTGTATATTTTACGTTTGGCGCAACGAGATGGTTATACCGCTATCTTTCAAAATGTCCCATATACAATATGTAACGTAATTAACGCACACCCTCATACACACCAATTAGTATATTATGTTATAATCATAACACATACACTGAATTTTTAGTTAAATATTTATACACTGATTATTTATCAAATTAGTTATACTAATTCCGGAAGAATGTTGTGGTCACAGTACAAATCCACGAACGAAAAGACATTAACTTGCTTGAAATAAAGTTCATTTTTCTTTATTTTTTTTTTGAATGACAGAATCCTATACCTTTAAACGAGCAATTCTTGTATATATATAAATATATAATCGGAATCTCGGAAACGGCTCCAACGATTTTCATAAAATTTAATGTCCAGCGAGTTTTGGGGGCAATAAATCGATCTAGCTAGGATTTATTTTTAGAAAATGTCTTTTTGTCCGTGTTTTTAGGCTGCTAAAACTGCTACAATATAAGAAGGTAAATTTTGACACTGTGTTAATGATCGTAATAGCTCAAATGTATATCGAGCAGTCGCGAAATCGTAATGCCTTGGTTCGCGTTCTGTCTTCGGTCCAACTTTTTTCCTTTTTTTTTTCAAGATCGCTTCTTTTGTGAGAAAATCTATTATTTCGAGCCCTTTTTTTTAGTATTTTTTAAAAATACGAAAATTTTAATTAAAATTTTTAATTAGACTTTTTATTCAAATAGGTAACCAGTTCAGTAAAAAAAAAAACCGAGCAAAGCTCGGGTAGGTACTTAGTAATAATACAAATAAAACTGCAAAGTCTTATTGCCTTAAGTTACGGAGCATTTCAGTTTGTTTTGACTGTACAGATTTAGTGTGACTGTAATTTACGTAGTTTTAATTATTTTTGGGCTAAAAAATTACCTATATTAAAAATGGTTGGAATCGATTCAGTAAACGATTCTGAACAAACTACTTTCTCAAAGTGCGTTAATTACGTTACATATTGTATATCACTTCATCTTGTCTCACAGGTGTTATAAAAACGCGACTACAGTAACTTTTTTATGTAGAAGTATGGTGGTAAACGAGCACACACACACACACACTACTGTATATAGTGATTATATATCTACTCTTTGGCAGTGTTGCCGTTTCAGCGCATTTGGCGCTAGATCTGGATAGGGTCTATAGCACTTTTTTTATTCAATATCTACGTGCTAAAAATATCTAGTAGACTAGTAGACTATTTTTGCTATTTTTAGCACGTAGATATTTAAAAAAAAGCGCTATAAGCCCTATAATCGCACTAGATCTAGCGCGAAATGCGCTGAAACGGCAACTGGTCAACTGGTGGTCCTTCCCTGTTCGAGGCGACCCATTCTTGCAACAGGACCAACAAACTAAGAAAGATGGACCGCTGCGTGAAATGACGGCCTTGGAACGACAAGTCATACAAAAATCAAAACAATGAACAAATTATTGTAAGAACACCCACTCACGCATTCATGCATCCAAAATCATCTGCAGCTAACAAAGTGATTTAAAGTGCATGCATTTGTGTAGTCCATAAGTGAATTTTATCACGCTGATAAAGAAAGAAAAAACTTTTTTTAAATAAAATAAGGATGACAAACGAGCACACATTCCACCTAATGGTAGGTGGATGTTGTGGCTAAATGTATCCTCTATTAAGAATCAAAATGCAGATGCGTTGTTACCCCTGACGACTAAGATATTCTTGCCTCGCTCCCAGTAAAAAGGGTCTCTATAATTATAGTTCAGCATTGAGCTACTATTTCACGCTGGTATTCTGCTCCGGTCGAGCCGTTACATTCATGCTTCAACTATAATATAGCTGCAGCGTGGCTCTACCACGTAATATGTGTGCTGAATGCGGGTCAAAAAGTTGAGCATGGTTTCATCATCAGTTGCAATGCAACCAGCGCCCTGTCTATCTTTCTTTAGCTCGTACAAATCAAATACATAGTAACTATAATTTAAAAATTTATATTAATTAAACGTTTACAGACAAAGATCGCCGACATTCTAGCCTTAGTGAAACGCCTGTGATAGAATCCAACGTGCTCAGAAAAGTGGCATCACTTACACTAGATAAGCTGACGGATACAAAGATTGTACGACCTAAGTTTGTGCCAGAGAAGTTAGATTTCCAGCTGTATGAAAAATTTGAAGGTGAGTTATATTGCAAACTATCGTGTACATATTTTTTTTAATTTCATGGGTGTCACACGGTCCACCTGTTGGCAACTGAATGCCGTTGCCCATATATAAAGTATATCTTTTCTGCATTAAGAAACCAGATGGTATGTTTTAACCATAGAAATATATAAAATATGTCTATGGTTTTAATTCTTGTGGACTAAGGTGGATTACCTCGTTACCAGGAAAAAGGTACACCTATTCTCGTCACGAACCATACAGAAGAAGAAGGTTCTTAACAAATAGGCCTCAAGTGTAGTTCCATTTAAATTTGTGAAAAAAAAATCCATTCCAAATGGTGGGAAAATAGGGCATGCACTTTTTAACGTAACTGTTTAGACGACATTCTAACTTTTACCATGAAATTTTGATATTCCTTAGTCTACTCAAAGGAGGACGTCAAAAAATAAAAAGCCAAAAAATAAAAAAACAAAAGCCAACTTAAGGGAACCAAAAGATTAGAGTCCCGGGAATTTATTCAATTATGTAAAAATTAGTTTTTTCTTTTTAGATTTTTAAACTCGTATGTTAAACACATTTTTAAACTTTAATTATAAATTTTTCAAATATTCAATTTGAAAAATGTCTATTCTCTCTTTCAACAATCATTTTTGCACTAGGTGCTTTTGAGATAAATATTTGGAAAGTAGAGCTGTCGTTTTACGATGCGTAATGTAGGAGGTACATAGGATCACGATTCACGACTCTTCTCTAAAGAACCTACCTGTCTATTTTTCCTGTTAGCTTAGATAATTTTGTCTCTATTTGACTACAGAGATTTAAAATAAATGCAATGAAAGAAAAATTAATTTAGTGACAAGATCTTATATACATACTTATATTCCTTTAATTACTTATGTTTATTTTAGTTATTGTAACTAGTCGGTAACTAGTTTTAAAAATAAAATTTAATGATGCACACCGGCAAATTAATCACGAAATATTATACCTGATGTTGTAAAATCAGGAAATGTGGTGCCTACATAATATCCTACTATGTCATCGCTGTAATTTATCATTATACAAACGGCGCCATCTGCTTGCAATCGCTCGCTGGTTTGCGAAATGTCTGCGCAAATTTTACAGTATCTCATAGTACGATCCACAGAGTACTTTCTAAGTTCGATCGCAGACTTGGGCAGATCGTTATCTGCCTGAATATTTCATGATACGCCGCCATTTTATAATTTGGCCGATAATATTCCCCACATCATACCGACATATCATGAAATGCAAAAGGCCAAGCAGCACACGCGTTATGAACATCAATATACCAGCCCACATAGAACTAAGAATCCTTTTATAAGCGTATAAGAGTATAGAAAAATGGTTTTATCCCTTATTTAGGGTATTTAAAAGGGTTTACTAGAGTGGTTTATGAGTTATAATACAGCTTAAACTGTATGAAGCCTGTATTATGGGCTCGAAGTAACCTTAGGGTTCTTTGAATTAAAGGATATACTAAGAAATGAAGCTACAAAAAGTTTTTAAGTGTCCAAAAAACTTGGTTATGTAATGATGAATGACTAGTGACGCTGCGCTGTCTAAAACCAATTTATTGATATACCATGTAAATCTTACGCATGCTCATATAAAATGAATCTTTTTTTAAGGACATGCGAATGCTTTTGTCGCCGTCCAAACAAATAGATGAATGAATAACAAGATAAAAATATTATCTGTTATCAATGATTAGATAGGTTGGTAGATGTGCCGCTAATTATTATCCGTAATCAGTAATCACTTTCGTCTTAACAACGATACAAGTGAATAAAAGTGTGTACGTGACTATACTTTTGCTAAAGTTTAGTGCAAAGTGACAAACACAAAGCATTATTAATAGGTTGCAAATATGCAAATGTCAACAAGCCGTGTAAATTTCTGTAACTCGTCGGTCGCACATTACAATTACGTAAAACTATTGAATAATCATCAATCGACTAAGAAGGGCATTCACAATATTGTTACTTTACTGGGGTTACACTCGAACGACTACACATATGTAGACTTTGACACTAAAGTGAGACGAATACGAAGAAAACTCTTCCGAAGATCTACACCTATCAAAAATAATCGGGCATTAGTGCAGTATATTGAAAAAACAGTTATACTAAACACTAGTCGAACTGCGAAATGGTTTCGAATTGTGATGTTCACCGTGAAAAGAAACTTTGGAGTGTTCACAATGGAGTGCGACGTAAGAACTGGTTTAATAATAGTTACAATAATGCAAGTTAGTGATTCAAGACCATTGTACGATATAAAAGTACCTAAGTGTTTTGACGTTATTCAAAAAAGTTCTATATTAAGTAAGTTATAGAAATTTTGTATAAATTGCTAACGAATAAGTGTCTAATAAGTAGCGGGCCCCATGGGTCCCACGTTTAATAAATTATATAGATTACCACCACCATATTGCCATAACCATTGCCATTATTAACGGTTATTCCTTTCACCTTGGGATATTTACTTAAGATGAAAGTTATAAGTTTTAGTTGGCGATTATGATGTTGCGTGGGATTAGTGCTGAATTGTAGATATTGCGCTATAAGACGTGAACCTGAATACCTACGAATTATTTTTACAATACGATATTAATATGTTATTGTCTTTTTCGACTTTCGACCATAGAGACAGTATTCGAAAACTATAGAAAAAATAAAAGTTGATTGCTTTCCTATCCGTTCGTCCGTCTGTTAGCGGGCTGTATCTCATGATCCGTAATAGATAAACAATTGAAATTGTCACCGAATGTGTATTTATGTTTCCGCTATAACAACAAATAATAAAAATAAAATAAATTAACCCTACTAGTAACGTGTTTTTACGATGGTACGGAACCCTTCATGCGCGAGTCTTGGTCCATTGTTTAGTATCTATTAGATACGTTTTATAGTGCCACACAAGTGTGCGCACCTATAATCTAAACCTACAGTTGCAAGACTATGACACTATCAAACATACGGGAACAATAAATAACAACACAACAAGACCTTCTTCTGACTGCTGGCCACAGCTAGTCTCTTTTATGAGAAGAATATGGCAGATTTCAAATGTCCTTATTTTGTTAATTGTCAATTATGTTTCCTCGCGATATAAATTATCATTGTCAAGAAAGTGGTCAATACAACGTTTAAAATTGCGGTTAATTCACTGACTGGGTTAATTATTTCAAACATTTGTGATATATTTGATGACATTATTCTGTATTCTGTTTACTTGCACTTGACGTTTGTGATTGCCTCTCGGAATTAAGACTGATTATGTTATTTTCCCGACATTCACTTTACACGCACGTTCTGGATGTCGTACGTAAAAGACTGCCTCGTTGGTCTAGTGGTCGTTAACGCGGTAGCTGACCATGAAGGTCCCGAGTTCGAATCCCGTATATCGGGCCAAAATCACTTCCTGGGTTTTTCTGACAAGAAATCCTCAGTAGCAGTCATAAGTCAGGAAGTTGGTGATATTTCATCACCGTGTCTTGAAAAAAGCCCTTGAACATGCGCATAATTTCTCTGCTATCGTGTCGACTTGGGCTGCCATCTGACCTAGAGTAGTAAAGTAAAAAAAAGTAAAGTTACAGCCTATATACGTCCCACTGCTGGACACAGGCCTCCCCTCATTTCTGAGAGGGTTTTAGGGCAAGGAAGTGTCCGCCGCGCTGCCCCAATGCGTGTTGGCGAACTTCACATGTCTCCTAAATATTTTTTTTTCTTATTTCTCAGACATGCAGGTTTTCTCACGATGTTTTCCTTCACCGTCGAGCACGTGGTAAATCAGCACATAAAATTGCAATTAACAATTTCATTGGTGCCGGCAGGGATTAAACCCGGGTTACTCGCGTTCTGTTATATTTACAGCGAACGTTAACCGTCTGAGCTACCATGAATAGTAGAATTATTTAATCTGTGCTAGAAGAATGAGAGAATAATCAGTTAACTTGTGCTTGCGCATACACTAGGGCACTTTAATCTTGTCCAGCGATGATCGATATTAGAAAAACCTCGATGTTGACATTTTGATTATTAAATGTACTTATTACGCTAATATTATGCAAATTAACATTCTCAGTATTTTTGTGGGTCATTCTGCAAAAAAGTAACTTTGCCTAATGCTGTCCTTTTAGGTAATCTGTTTCTTTGTCAATACACATAACTTACTTTTTACTTTTAAAAAAGTCTTTCCGAAGCTGTCGAAGTCGCTGTGCAACACAAATGTTGAAAAAAGGAGCCTTAACGGCAGCTACTTTTTTAACATTTGTTTTTTAACTTTGGATAAGTGTATTCTAGAACTTTCCAAAGTATATAGATCTATTGGCCTGGAGTATGATGCCGATGTTTCAATATTATTCTTCGATCGATGTGGTATCGAGTCGATGTGTCGATGTTTTCACGCTAAACATTGATGAATATCAATCATCCCTAGTGTCGTTAGACTTGTTTTTATTCTCGGAGTTCAATTTAGAAAAGATTGTTATATTGTGATATGGTCCAGATATGGTCACAGGGTATTCATTTTATGGAAACACGCAGCATACAAATAAAATATGTTGCTTCCTTGAAGCGCATTCAAATGAAACGTGTTGTTTTAAATAAAATGTACCTACAAGTTTGTAATAGATTACTGTAGTCACTACGGAGTTTCGATTGTAAGGGTTAGAAAATCATTATAATTGCAGGATGTGAGACATTTTATTAGAGGTGACAAAGCAATTGCGTCCTTCTTTGTTTAAAGTTAGTTACCAGTAGTCACATAGAACTTAGCTACGTTGACAAAGAAAAACATAGAGCAGGACAATTTGTTTATTTCATAACATTGCGATGAATAATACATACGAACAAAATAATCGATAACTTTATGAAAAAATATCGTACAAAATTATCAGTGTTTACGCAACGATTTAAATTTATTTTATATTTTTGGTGCGAAAGAAATAAACCAGGTGGAGTCTAGTATCTAATAAATCACAACATAACATAAATTTAAGCATGAAAAAAAGTTTTTCATTGTTAATGTTAGGTATTATTGTATGCAATGAACATACACACAACACTTTAATGATTTTTTATATTTATGCGAACAGTACACATTAATTAATTTATAAAATAAATTGAATGAAACCAGTTTTTTCCCATGCATGTGTTTCCATCGCATTGTGTCCCATGGTAACGGGGAGACCAACCAACATAACAATGCCATAGGCTACCTTGAGTTTAAAATTTATTTTTTTATTACACAGAAAGACTTTTTACCTGCTTAGTATTTTTGCAGTCTTGCACTTGCAGTTGTAATTTAATTTATTTGATTATATCATCATATTATGCAGGTGGTAGCCACCCAGCCATATTCTCTATTGAAATTAGATTTTTTATTTAAACAGCCTCACGAATTATAAAGTGCCAGTCGATAGGAATTGGTGTTCTTTTGTGGTCTGTCAAATCTGATGTAATGAAAGGCAATTATTGATACTGCAGAATTCCCGGAGCTTCGAATATTCACATTAGCTATTGTCCTTTATGATCAATTTTATTGATATTTTAGTTTGTCCAAACGAAGAGACCACATTTACAAACAAGCTCATATACTCCTAAATCTTGTATAGCGGGATATTATACATCTTTGGCGGCTTAAAGTGGATATATTGTAGTGGAAGCTCGCTTCAAAGCACATGGCGCAAGGCACATGCTTGACCGATAATTTATAGTAAGGTGGGTGGAACATGGAAGGCCATGCTCCTTCGAAGGCCAATGATTAAAATTTCGTAGTTATTGCCATGTGATGACAAATTCCTTCTACTTACAGAAACATCCATCGAACTGAAAATCACAGACGCGGCGGCGAATCGCTCGCGCATCTATTTTGGCAGTACGGTTCCTCGTTTCATTGATTTCGGGAATCGACGACGTTAAGTTAAGGTGGGTGTACCATGGAAGGCCACTCTACAAATAAACAGCTATTATTCGTTTATTTACTGGACAAATGAAACTAACAAATATTTAAGCAATACTTTGTTTTATTACGTAACATATAAACCATATCTTTTTATTGTATATATTAAACTTTAGTTAAATAACTGATTTATTATAATGGCCTTCTAAGGAGCCTTGCTCTTAGCAAGGCCATTTGGAAGAGTTCAATGAAACTTAAGTTCAATCAATATTGATTAAATCTGCAATTTAAAAAAGTGGTTTATATGTTAGGTAACAAAACAAAGTATTGCTTAAATATTTGTTAGTTTCATTTATCCAGTAAATAAACGAATTATATCTGTTCATTTGTTAGAGTGGCCTTCCATGGTACACCCACCTTATTCAGAATTTTTGCTTTGCATACGCCTAATTAATTACTTTGATGCCAAATTTTAAGATACCGTAGTCGCCTAGGTTTTTTATGAGTGAGTTAAAAAGTGAAAAAATGGCACTCTTCAGACCTTAATAACGCAAGAATTAAAATAGGTTCACCACCTGAAATATGCACGTAAGCCTAACTACTCAAAAAACCTTCATGTGAAATGTAGGTTGCTTGGCAGATGAGATAAAGAAACCTTATTATTGCGAAGTTTTATCTAAATCTCGTTAGCATTTAAGTATGAGAACTGGAGGATGGTTAGAATATGGTGTCAAAGACACTGACTCACACATAATACATTGAGTTAAATAGGTTTTGCTGTTGTGTAATACAATATTATCTTTCTAAATACTGCAGACACCTGTCTGTTCCAAAGTCTCTCTCAGAGAAATGAGAGGAGGCTTGTGCCCAAACGAAGGACGTTGTTATTTAAATAAAAGGAACTGGCAACAGTTTCTACGGTACGTAATAAAACAGAAAAACATAGTAAGTAAACAGAAGAAAAATTTCAAGAAACCACTTGAGTGACGTTTTTAATTTTATACGATTCTTTTAGTCACGTCACTATGTAAAAAAGTAAAAATAAAACTATAGAACGTAAACGCAAAACGGCAGTAAAATATTATTATCTTTTAAAGTTTTAATTATTTTGAGCACGATGTCTAAAAACAATATGTTGACTGTGTGTGTGAATTAATTGTATAATGATTTAGATTGATTGTGTATTTTTAAATGATGATTTACGACCATGAACAAAAAATTATTATTATTTCAAATTATGCGAAACGTGAAGAGTTACGTTCTAAGAAGTGTCAAGAGGAATAGAGTATAAACAGCTTCTCTTCACATCACAGCTGCCTTTGATTTAATAGAAGCTGAGTTAGAACTTAGACTGGACCTTGAAGTACAGGGTGGGGCAGCATAACTTCCTTTTTTTAAAACCTAATAAAACACATTGTATGAATCGGAAAAATTTTATTTGGTTTTTACAATGTAAGTACATACTTAAAGTTTTGTTTTATTTAGTTTTGAAGATCAAATCAGGTAGATGACGTCCCTTATTATCTATACATTGAGTATACCGATTTCTGGTGTTTGTCATAACTCTTTGAAGCAGAGCAGGCGTTATGTTGGCAATTTCTTCCTGGATGTTGTTCTTTAAATCTTGTAGGGTCCTTGGACGGTTCACATAAACACGGGATTTCAAAAAACCCCATAGAAAAAAGTCACAAGGGGACAAATCGGGAGATCGGGCCGGCCACTGCAAATCGCCCCTGATTGAGATAAGGCGTTCTGGGAAGTGTTCTCTCAAAACAGCCATCGATGCTCTTGCAGTGTGTGCCGTTGCACCGTCTTGTTGGAACCAAATGTCTCCCAAGTCCAACGCATTCAGCCGGGGTAAAAAGAATTCCTGTAACATGTTTACATACCGGCCCGAATTCACTGTTACTGTGACTTCATTTTCCTCAAAGAACCAGGGACCAATAATTGCAGCTGAGGAAATTGCACACCACACTGTGACCTTAGGTGAATGCAAAGGCCTTTCATGCAATTCTCGAGGATTGGTGTCAGCCCAGTAGCGCATGTTTTGTTTGTTCACGGATCCATACAAGTGAAAATGTGCTTCATCACTAAAAAAAACAATAGCGTCCTCAGGAACGACATCCAGAAGAATCTCACATGCGTTCCTGCGAGAATCGTAGTCACGTTTTGACAGTTCCTGTACAGTCGCCATCTTGTATGGATGGAAATGTAAGTCTTCATGGAGAATTCTCCGCACAGAACGACTGGAAAGTCCAAGGGCAGATGCATGTTTGCGCGCAGAACGCCGTGGTGATCGCAACATTGAAGCTCTGACTGCCTCAATGTTCTCAGGTGATCTAATGGGCCGAGGGACTCCAGTTCTTCGTTTTGTCACACTTGCAGTTTGTCTAAACGTAGTGACCCACATAACAATTGATTTTCGGTCTGGAACAGGGGCCAACGGGGCTAAATTAAAGCGATTTCGAAAGGCGCGCTGAGTTGCAATCACAGAACATCCGCGCGAAAAGTAAGCCTCAACAGCAAACGCACGCTCCTCACTGTTCCAACGCATTATGGCGACTGAGCTGTCTCGACTAAACTTTATAGCCCCCCCTCTCGAACGAGACCACTAGCGCTCCACTACGATGTCACCTGACCGAATGGCGCGCATTACAAATAAGGAAGTTATGCTGCCCCACCCTGTAAATTGTTTGAGTGTTAAATCTTTTCTAAATACACTACTATAATATTGTTACGAGATTGAGGTTCGTGACAATAATAACTGCCGATTCAATTACCAAAATTTACACTTTTATTGCCCAAAACCAATTAAAACTTAGAACACTAATAATTAACCACACTAATTCACTTTATTTCGCTCCGAAGCTTCGCTTGTCTCGCCAAATTCAATATTTCCCCGCTCGCATCTTGCAGCACCTTTAAACACATATTATCACCGAAACATCCAGAATATTCAAGTAAATACGCGCGCCAATCGACTAGGCGCCGAAAGTTCGAGTGTCGGGCTTCTAGAAGCTTAGTTCTTTGTTTCGATACTAGATGGCGCAGTCGGTTGAAAGATTAGTGATGTCATTTTCTGGAAAGCTCTCCTCGCTCCGTTACCCGACACAGATGGCGCTAGTGCCAAACGTCAACTTAGGCGCGCAACACTACCCCCTAAGACATGCTCGTCCCGAGCATTATCAGCCCCATAATAACGCGCCAGGCGATCCACATGGACCATCTTAGGAGTCCCTCTTGCGCCTTTCTGTATCCGGTAGGTTACATCGTTGATCCTGGTTACAATCCGGTACGGGCCGTCCCATTTAGCTTGAAGCTTAGGAGATTTATAGATATAATACTACTACTAGAAACTCCAAATGTTCAAAAGGTTCAAGAAATTGGTGGACTCAATAAAGTCCAGTCCATGCCAAATACATGTGGCAACCTAGAAATTAAGTGTAGGTACAGTAAAAGCTCTTTATTCGCGGGGTATATGTTCCGTAAATATGCCGCGAATACGGAATGGTAATTCATATGAAATTATAGTGGATAGGTTCCTAGGTGACAAAATAAAAAACAAATATATGAAAAAAATCAATTTAACTGAAGCTTTTGACCATATTGATTAATTATTTTCTTCCAGCTTAAGCAATGGTTTAAGGAATTTTGTATTTTTTTCTTGCTTGGCAGTTTTTAAAAGCTCCTTCAATTCAGACTGATATTCAGCAGTACCGTTAGCAATTTGCCTCTTAAAAATAAGACTTCGTTCCATAGACGGATCAACTTTCGTAAAGAAATCACAAAGTTCATTTGCCATTATTAAACCATCACTAAGATTATTCAAATTAAATGTCACATTTTCAGTGCTTATTGAAACTCGTTTTTTTTTAGTCGACATTATAAATTAGGAAAACAGCGGTAGAGACGTGTTACTCGATCACAATTTTTATGACGACTCTTGCCAAAGGTCGGAACATCTAATGTGTGGCAGCATTTAAAAATGTACTTTATTTGCATTGAATAATAAGGTTGCTTTCATTCTGATGAAGATATTGAATATGTTACAAAATAAACATACTTAGGGCAATTAATATCATTTAGAAATCATACAGACATGGAAATAGACAGAAGAGTAGCTTGCGCTTGGAAAAGATACTGGTCCCTTAAAGAAATATTCAAAAGTAAATACTTTCCTATAACAACCAAGAAAAAAGTGTTTAACTCCTGTATCTTGCCATGTCTTACATATGGATGCCAAACCTGGGCGTTGAATCAGAAACACCTTCTAAAACTGAGAACATGTCAAAGGGGAATTGAAAGAAGTATGTTGGGCGTGACGCTAAAAGACCGCAAAAGAGCAGAAGATATTAGATCTACAACAAAAGTGGAAGACATAATTAAGATAATTAGACAGTTAAAATGGCGATGGACAGGCCATATGGCAAGAGAAAGCAGGATAAAATGGACGCAAATCATAACAGAATGGCAACCACGTGATGGCAAAAGAAAAAGAGGTAGACAAGCAAAAATATGGACAGACGATATCAAGATTATTGGAGGGACGATATGGACTAGAAAAGCCAACAACAGAGAAGAGTAGAAAGAGCTGTAAGAGGCCTATGTGTCACAGGACACGCTGATCACTAAACTTGGAAAACCGTTATGCTAGATTATAATTAAGTTAAAACAATCATATACTATGTAAAACAAAATTTTTAGAATCAGCAATAAAGGCTTTAAAAAAAAAAGATTATTCAAATTAAATGTCACATTTCCAGTGCTTATTGAAACTCGTTTTTTTTAGTCGACATTATAAATTAGGAAAACAGCGGTAGAGACGTGTTACTCGATCACAATTTTTATAACGACTCTTGCCAAAGGACGGAACATCTAATATGTGGCAGCATTTAAAAATGTACTTTATTTGCATTGAGTAATAAGGTTGCTTTCATTCTGTTTGCTTACATTCTCAAATACCGACCACGGCGAATGCAGCTTATATCAAAGGCTGGACTAAGCATGGAGGTTAGAGAACTGGAGAACGATCGCTAGGTACGTACTAAAGCATAGCCCGCCTGTCCTTGAAAACGTGCGGCGCTGCCGTCGGTGAGTAGTGGCTGCGAAGTTGGCTGTTTATGAGTATAAGTAGATGAAGTTAGTTGAATAATGTACACATTTTCTTCGCGGCATTGGTGAGAAAGTTTTCATGCTCCGTAATTTTTTAATTTTTGACAAAAATAAACATTAAAAAATGGAGAAATATTTGCATCCACGCTTGTACGCATGGATGTACAAGTGGTTGAGCATCTGATCGGAAAAATAGACTGAAAATTCTATTTTTTCCATATTTTTCTGGGACACTATTTTCTACGGCGATCGTTCTCCTGTTCTCTAACCTCCATGGTGTCAACTGTCTAGGCATGGAGTATAGAGGTACGGAGGACAATCTTCCATAGGAGGATAGTTGAAAATGTATCCATCCTTAAGCAGTAAATACTAGTTCAAAAACTCTCCACAACAACGCTCGAGTAGCTACGGGGTATGAAAAATATGTTGTGATTTTGAAAACAAAAAATTTGAAAGCAATAAAATAATTATTGTAAAATAGAATCGTGGTGAAAGTCTGTGCAATAAAAAAATTATAAAAAGTTCTTTAAAGTTTAGACTGTAGCTACAGTGGCGCCATCCTTATTTAACGCTTTCCTACGGACACTTTTTTTATAGAGAATAGAGTATGTACTGCTTACCTCTACACTCCATACTCTTGGACTGTCTTGAACTTAAGTAAAAAAAGTTAAAGTAAACTTTCTGTGCAAAATATTTTTTCAATGTTTACTTTCAATAGATATATGTTAAATTCCAGGACAGATGCTTCTGAATTGGTTCATATCATCAGTTGCTGAAAACAGTCATTTGAAAAACCTTCTAAGTTCACAAGATTTGAAAAATATTGGGATTCAATATTGCACTCACCTCTTAGCAGCAGGTGTCCTGAGGCAGATATCTGATAAAGATGCACCTACAGAAAACGTATTTAAGGTATTTAATATTTTATTATACTATACTATATTTTATCGTACATAATTTGTAATCACTAATCATATATGTTATAAAACTATTAACTCTGGCGAAATCTTTAATACCAGTGGACAGCCTATCAAAATTCCACTACAGACCATATTGGTCTCCTCGTAGATTGTATCACAGGGGAAATATTTGTCATAGTTGCCACGCATGACAGGCAGGTTGGTAACCACAGTATTTTTTTTAGTTCATATTACAAAGATGCTGCTGCCCATCTCCTGGTTTGTTTCCCTTTGTCGTCTCTTAGAACAAGATGTAGTGTAGATTAAGATGTAGCGGATATTCTTACACCACTACTACATGGTACACGCACACAGATGTTTAAAATTAGGTATATAATAGATATGGGTGTTATCAGTTTTTTATGATAACTGCTACTAAACTGATGAAGATGAAGTTTTCATATAAATATCTAAACCTATTCTTAAATATAAATATGAAAATATATATGAATATAATATGAAACAATTTGGTCACTGGTTCTGCAGTTATGATTGCCAGTAATCGAGTAAACACACATGTTCAAAACAAAACTAATTTTTATGAAATCAGCACACTTTTTATGCAAAATGATAAACACTTGACATTTGGCAATACCATCTTAAAAAAAAGTTTAATTAAAAAAATGTCATAATGTTTTGGCATTTGCATTTAGGTTGGCAATCAAACAACTAATATGATTAACTCACTCAATATTCACTTTATCTCATTTTCTTGACTGGCAAGGTCATCAGTTAGACAGAGAGGTAGCGAATGTTAAGTCTATTAGGTTGATAGTTGATTGCTTCAATGTGGAACGGAATGTTTTTTTTTTGCATTACGAGAAGGTACATTAGCTGTATTGCCGTTTGAATTCACTTTGATTGAGTGCTATTATTAAAACCATTGTCTTTATGCAGCATATCAATATAATATGTTTTGTAATTTTTAATATGTAATATGTGTAACTGTTTTTAGATGTTTTAATATATCATACTTATGCCTATTGTATAGTAGAAAAGATTTTAGATTATTTTCAACCACAGTCTAAATGCTAATTTGCAATATGGTGTTCCTATCCATCTTGAATGCTTGTAAATGTTGAAGTGTGTGCAGAGAAGTAAAATTACTCTACTAGACTTGAGACTATCAGCAATTGTTGATACACATTTAAACTTACACAATCATTTAGCATGTTTCAGATCTCTGTCTTGTGCAAAGCTAGTGCTAATTAAGCTTAATGTTTTGGTGTTGTTAACCCGTTTTATTTCTAATGCTCTAGTGTCACTTTATTTTTATTAACTTTAAAAGTTAACTAGTTCGACTCATGGCATCATTAGAGTATATTAGTTATAAGAATTACAAATATACTTGCAATACTAGTAGAACAAACTTCAGGGTTGTCATTTTAATAAATTTATGAAGCTACAACTAATTTATTATACATGTAAAATAAAAATTATTAATAGGTAAATTGAATAATACATTTGTTGTTCACATTACTTATATACTCTGATTGATGCCGTTGATTTTTATAGTTAGTAAATATAAATAAAAGTGATACAAAAATATTTGTCAATCCAAATGATGAAAATAAAATTTTATCACTTTATATTTTTGTTTTCAGCCTAATCTAATGTATTATTGGACACATATGGAGGCACCAGCATTACAGCCGGTTACACCAGGACGATTACAAATGTGCACATGGCCACCTGACAAAGAAATTAATGAAATAACGAGAGATAATAGTACATATTACAGCGGTATGGAAAATGATCAGTTTTCAAAAGGTTTTCAAAACAATATTGAAGAAATAAATGACATCAATGAAGCCAAAGTTGTTATTTCACAATTAAAGAAGAAATTGCAAGAGCTAGAGTATCAATTACAAAAAGTAAAAATTAATAATCAAATTGAGATTTTAAATAAAAATTTGCAAAATAGTTTTATCTCTTTACCAGAGAGTAATTACATTAAAGACAAAGTTGATGTATTAGTTGACAGAGCAAATAAAGAAGTTCAGACATCGAAAACAATAAATGAAATAAATAAGCTAACCAGCAGGGCACAGATATGTCCTACGAAATATGATAGTCAAATAAGAACAAATTATAATGATGATAACACATTAGGTATAAGTAGGTTAGCTTTTAAAAATGGAATTTCAGTCAATGAAAGTGAAAATCAAAAAAGATCTGAGAAAATCGAAAATTACTGTAAATTGAATAAAAGTAGAGAGTATAATAAACCTAATGGTAAAGATGGATATTTTGAGAATATTGATAATGATAATTTATTAATTAAAAGTGAAGCCCCAAGTCTTCCAGTTAGTAGTTCTGATATTCTCCATGATCGTCAGGATATTAGTTTAATAGTTACTTGTGAAAGTTCTTCTGACACTTCTTTTGCAAGTACCTATACATCAAGTGAATTAATAAATAATAGATCTAACAATGAGAATCTATTAGATTTACAAAAAAATGAAATAATTGTTCAAAATGCTACATGTGCAACTGATAAATATGTAACAAAAACTATATTTTCCAAAATTGATCAATATACGTCATCAGATATTAGTCAAACATTAATAGAAGACAAGTGTGAAATTTTACAAAAAGGTGTTCACAATTCAATATCACAATCCAATTTTCAAACTCCACTTACGGAAACAAAGGATATATTATTTGAAGATGACCATATCTTGCCTATTACTTTAAAATTAACTAAATCTGTTTTTGAACCTAATGAGGAAGTGTCTTCTCCTCCACCTCCCTCTCCTGGAAAGACCCCATCTCCTCCTCCAGCTCCAGGGACACACTCAATAACACCTGAATTAATGACTCCAGCACCATATATCACTCCAATTCAATCCAAGCCTTTTGCTCTATCAGTGTCACACTCATCACCTCTTTCAGATGCAATATCTGAAACGAATACTATATCACAATCACTGTCGGTTCCTGTTTCAAATAAAGAAATTTCTTCTACGTTAATTGAGTCAGTGATTCCAGAAACAAACAAACCTCTTTCAACTTATTTAGATGAATCCCTTCCTCAACTTTTGGTTTCCGAAAAAAATAATGAGGGGACAACATTTTGTTCAGAACATGATCATCAGATGTCATTATCAGTACTGGATACTATTGTAACTAGAAATGATGAAAATTGTTTACAAAAGACCCCATCAACGCCAGACATTATCCCACCGTCTTCCCAATCCCCACCATTGAATGATACTGATCAGTTTACGTCCAAAATACCTGTGTCTGTGTCGATTCCTACTGCAAACACTGTGGCGCCACTAGTACCATCAATGCCGGATTTGGTCTCTCAACCCTCAGCAATGCCTGTATCAATCCCACCGCCTCCTCCAACGTCTGGATTGAGCCCACCGCCACCGCCTCCAATGCCCGGAATTGGTCAAGCATCCCATCCTCTCGTGACTGGAACGGGCCCGCCGTCTTCTCCAATGCCTGGAACGGGTGTACCGCCACCTCCACCTCCAATGCCTGGAATCAGCCCACCGCCTCCTCTAACGCCAGAGATGGGTCCACCCCTTCCTCCTTTGCCTGAAATGGACCCTCCGCCTCCTCCTATGCCTGGTGTAGGTCCTCCGCCTCCTCCTATGCCTGGCATGGGCCCTCCGCCTCCTCCTATGCCTGGCATGGGCCCTCCGCCTCCTCCTATGCCTGGCATGGGCCCTCCGCCTCCTATGCCTGGCATGGGCCCTCCGCCTCCTCCTATGCCTGGCATGGGCCCTCCGCCTCCTCCTATGCCTGGCATGGGCCCTCCGCCTCCTCCTATGCCTGGCATGGGCCCTCCGCCTCCTCCTATGCCTGGCATGGGCCCTCCGCCTCCTCCTATTCCTGGCATGGGCCCTCCGCCTCCTCCTATGCCTGGAATGGGCCCTCCGCCTCCTCCTATGCCGGGCGTGGGTCTTCCGCCTCCTCCTCTGCCAGTTATGGGTCCACCTCAATCACAAATGCCTGGAATGGGTCCACCGCCACCACCAATGCCTGGCGTAGGCCAGACGCCAACTTCAGGCTCTAATCTTCAACCACCTCCCTTACCTCCGCATATTCCAGGGTCAAATATACCTGCTCCTCCTGGTGTAGTATCACAACAAGCGGGGCCTCTGCCATTCCCTACACCACCAGTAGGCGGATGGAACATGCAACGTGCCAGTAAGTACGGGTAAAATATAGTTTTCAGAATACTACTACATAACTATAAATACATTATTTTTTAGTTGCTTATTATCACCAAGATTATTAAAGATTAGCAATCACCTATTAAAAAAAAGTTAAAATGAAAGGAATTTTTCACAAGACTTACATTCCTGTTCCTTTACGATTGCCAACTTTTTGCGCTATATTGTCAAAAGTTTTCAATACGTTCATAGTTCTGAAAAGCAATGCTGCGGAGTTTGCCAGCATGACTTTCTACAATTGTGAACATATATGTGAATGGTCAGGTGACAGTCACTTGACTTAATTTTCTGCTTGAAATGCGCTTAAAATAAATTATGTTGCTTTCGTATTCCTGTTAAAATAAGATACCGAGTTTTTAACAACAAACCAAAAAATTGAACTCGCTATCATTATTGGTAGTTATTGTTAGTTTTAACTCTTTGCTGTCATGATTGAAGATAATAAAGTAAACAGTTTTGTGGTAAGAATGGCTGTTAAAAGTTGGCTCACATTGTATCTTATCTTGTTTGCAGTTTTTAAGTAGCCAAAAAATCTAAATTAGATATTGTTTATTATATTATTTTTAAACACTATTAAAGCTTATTACCATTGTGGTAAATTGTCACCATAGGCCATCTAATATTGATGAATAATTGATTTGATTGATATTGATATATTTTCTGTACAGCCTTAAGAAAAATACCTGTCAAACCTGCCGCACCCATGAAGCCGTTATATTGGACTCGAATTTTAGCTGCACCTGTGAAACCAATAAGTCAAGCAGAGCTCGACCCTGCAGGATTAAAACCATTATGGCTAGAAATCGAAGAAACAAGTTTGGATAATATAGATGAATTCACAGATCTGTTTTCACGTCAAGTGGTTAAGGCACCAGTGAAGAAGAAAGTAGAAGTAAAAGCAAAGATACAACCAGTAAAATTGTTGGATAGCAAGAGATCACAGAATGTCGGCATATTAGCACAAAGTTTGCACCTAGAGTTCTCCGAGATAGAAAACGCAATTTACAATTTTGATACGTCTGTTGTTAGTTTGGAAACATTGCAACAAATTTATGACTTGGTAAGAAATTTGCTGTTTTATCAAGAATATACAATAGCGATAAAAATATAGAAATGATAATGTAAGAGATCACATTCATTACAAGTCTAGAATCTGGGGACCTTCAATAGATAGTGAAATATAACCATTTTAGTGTTAAATATGACAGGCTGGTTTGATCCTGAGCCGTAGTAGCAGAGGGGCATAGCTCTCTTTCTAAATTTCACAGTATGCGAGTAACCTGGGTTCGATCCCCGCCGACACCATTGAAATTTTAGGAGCTGATTTACCACCATACTGGATGATTTAAAACCTTGTTATTTAAATATATGCTTGTTAGTTAAAATAAGAAAAGACGATATTTTGAAAACGTGAAATTCGCAAACACACATTGGGCCAGCCCCGGCAACATTTCTTTGACCTAAAACTCTCTCAAAAATGAGAGGAGGCCTGTGCCCAGCTGTGGGACATATATAGGCTGTAACTTTAACTAACAATGACATGCTACTGAGCAATGGACCAAGATAGCCATCTTCTCATCTCTAAAAATTGTATTAGAGGTTTCTCAGGATGGCTATCCTGAGAAACCTATGATATGATCTTTACAATGCTACAGCGATAACGTTTAATATAAACAGTTTGTCTTACGTAATAATCTAGCTAGAGCTGTATACTACTATGCACACCAGCCTTATAAAGCTTCTCCTAAAGGAAATCATGATTGAGTCAAAAACTTTCGAGGAACGAGAAGTTGGTGTACACATCAACTTAAGCATTCATATTTATGGAGTTGAGTAAGAAGTCAGTAAATGATTTTTGAAAATCCCGCTGGGTTTCTTGCTGGTTCTTCCCAGAACAGAGGTTTTTTCGAACCAGTGGTAAATTAAAAAAGGGACTTTCAACAAGTATTATTTATAATCTTTATTGAATAAAACAGTTTCTGTTTCTGTTTATAGCATACCAGTGGTCGCCCAGTAGTAGGAATTCGGCCATGATTCAATTTTAGGTTTATATATTAAGCAAAGCTGTATTTCACTTTCATGAGTTCTTGTAAGTAGTGTAAGTGTAACATTTGGTAACTGAGATGTTTTGCGTGTCACGTCCAGATAATATCAACTTAAATTCAGATAAATGTTTCAACATTTAAACATCTACTTTCTTACTCGCCTTCAATTGAATGGAAAGAAAACTAAACAATATTACTTAACCAATGCTGTAAAATGAATAGCTCATATCATTTGTCACATGAAGGTGGCGTAAAATTATCATTCACTCAATCGCAAGAGGTGACTTCGGAAAATGCTGAAAAGATTTATTATGGTATCTGATAGATGGCAGCATACTCATATTATAATACCAGACCCAGAATACGTAAACGGGGAATAGGAAGCAGCGATGAAGGCGCAATGTATATGGTACTACGATCGCAAACCCATTTATCATGCGTCACAATTACATCGAGGTCCATTTTCCATCAAAGCCTGTTTATGGGCTGATAAGCATGATGAGCAATAATCAAAATTATACCAATATCCAAAACAAATGTATTTGTGCTTTGGCCAGAAAAGGCTTGATTTTGCTTTTCTCATTTTAAAATCCACTGAAAATGTGGGTTCATATTGTTTTTGTTTAAATGTTTGGTTTGCCGTATCATAGTCATCACAACATTCCATCACAAGTCTTTTGTTAAATACAGGCCTTTTCAAGGAGTGAAACGAACCACGGTCTGAACTTACTGCATCCTCCTTGATTTGAGAATATATATTGAGCCCTCCTGTATTCTACTGCATTCTCCTGCCTTGCTAGAATGTCACTCCATCTTGTGGCGGCCGCATCTATTCCACTTACTAGTACGCCTTCATTTCTTTCCCAGCTGTGTTACCATGTTACCGGCGCACTGTTGCCATTTCCAAAATATCGTCGTTGGTGATTTTGCTCAAAAAATACGATGAATTCCAAGAATTAATGGTAATTGAAAAATACGGTATAACCATGGTTATTAAAACAACCATTTCCAAACACTCAGATGACTTTTAATAGGAAAATTAGAATTACCATTTAGAATGAAGTTAGCTTGACTTCAAACAATTTTTTAACTTATTTTTTTACATTCCTAATGCTCACTTTTTTTTATTCTAGCGGGCAAGTGATGAAGAACTAATGCAAATTAAAGAGCACTTGAAAAGTAAACCCGATATACCATTGGATAAACCTGAAGCATTCTTACATGACTTATCTGGAATACCAAACTTTGCAGAACGAATATCATGCTTTATGTTTCAAGCTGAATTCGAAGATGGAGTTAACACAACAATGCATAAATTAGATAACTTAAAACATACTTGTGAAGTAAGTCGTTTACTCCACACATTCAATCAACAGGAGGAAAGTGATTGTATTTGTGTATATATATAATAATTTTCTTATGTTACCATATATGATAATGCTAAATAGATTTTGCTTGTAAATGGGGAAGTGTCTTGGTCTTTTTATATAACACAGTGTAACAAGTTTGTAGTACACTTGACCACGGTAGCTCATTGATATCTGAAGACATTCTGTGATCTTTTATCTCATGCCCAACAATAATAGCTCTCTTACCTTAACCTCACGGCACAAAGTTGGTTCACAGCTTTTCATCTGTAGTATTTACAGATAGAAATTAAAAAAACCAAATACTAACATAACTGTCTCGTAAGGCACGTAATTGGGCGAAAAAAATCGTGTGGCAGCATTATAAAATCCGTCACCCGCATTTCGTCTCGTACTCTCAAACGCAATACGAGCATTAGTCACTCAAATGTTTTAAAAATTTCAGATTTGGCGATGTAGTTCTAATGTTTGAATGCTTTTCCAGTTTCTTACTACAAGCGAGCCCTTGAAACAACTGTTTGCTATAATCTTAACTCTGGGCAATTACATGAATGGTGGCAATTGCCAAAGAGGACAAGCTGACGGTTTCGGCTTGGAGATACTTGCGAAGTTGAAAGATGTTAAGGTATTTATAAGTTAAGTTACAGTCTTAGGATGTAATTTTTTGACTTTATGCAGCATTTTGTGTGGGTATAGCGTTTCTCCCGGGAGGATAGGGCGAGCTGCATCTCTTCAAAAATACTCTTCTTTCCCGCGACTCGGTTGCGGTAGTACGGACAACCCTCGAGCCGCAGTCCATCTAACACGGATACAAAGTGGGCTCGCAAACTCTACTCGTAGTGGCCACCTCGGGCCAGCCATGTAGTTTCACAGTCACAGCTACTTAAAACAAATAACTTCTTATTCTTTTAATTTCAAAACTCAAACTGACTATAATATTTCATTTATTTAGAGTGCTCCCTAAGTCCATATCGTCCCGTGGATGTTGTAAGAGCTGACAGAAGAAAACAAAAGAGAAGATGGGCAGTAAAAGTAAAGTAAAGTTACAGCCTATATACGTCCCACTGCTGGGCACAGGTCTCCCGCTCATTTCTGAGAGGGTTTTAGGGCCAGGAAGTGTCCGCCGCGCAGCCCCAATGCGTGTTGGCGAACTTCACATGTCTTCGAAATACTTTTTTTTCTTATTTTTCAGACATGCTGGTTTCCTCATGATCTTTTCCTTTACCGCCTAGCACGTGGTAAATCAGCACTTAAAATTGCAATTAACAATTTCATTGGTGCCAGCGGGGATCGAACTCGGGTTACTCGTGTTCTGTTATATTTACAGCAAGCGTTAACCATTTGAGCTACTACGGCTCTGATGAGATGGGCAGTAGCATCTTTCTAATAACAATTCGAAAAAAAAACTATGGTTGCCAACCTGCCTGCCATGTGTGGTAACTGTGGCAAACCCCCTTATGAACTATTCTATCGGAAAGCTTACGTGCTGCAATGGACTTTGATAGGCTTACGTGGTAGAGCCACTCTGCAGCTATATGGTTGTATCACGAATGGGTCGGTTCGACTGGAGTAGGACTCTCACAGAGTACCAGCGTAAAATAAGGGGCATATTGCTGCTGAGATTCGTGTAGTGAGTGTAGAGAACTGGAGACCCTCTTCACTGGCAACGAGGCACGCTGTCTTAGCCCGTAGGGATGACAACGCACCAGCATTTTGATTCTTCATCGAGGATAAATGAAGATGTATATGAGCCACAGCATCCACTTACCATCAGGGGGATTTTGTGCTTATTTGGCACTCTTATTCTATAAAATGATGTAATGAATATGTTAAAATATGTTAAATTAAAGTTTTTGAAAACCCCGAAAAAAAAGAGTTGACCATCATCAAACGGCTGAACAGAATTTCTTAAAAAAGTATTCTTAGCTATGTGCTAATAATACTTTCGATGGGGGTCACCTCTCAAACAAAAAAAATCTTAATCTAAATGCGTTCATCCGTTTAGGAGCCACCATAGAATACTATAATACATCTATAATAGAATGGGGGAGTGGGCGGAGCCCGTGTAGCCACTAAAACGTCTCTAACATGTCAATTCACACATATAACTGTCAACACGAGATGGGACGTTACAATCGTTTCCAAATTTCGCGACGCCGACCCTCGTACAAAATAAGGTTGACAGCCATTCTATTGTGTATTATAGTATTTTATGGGAGCTACGATGCCACAGATAGACACACATATAGACAGATGCACATGATAAACATATAACACTTCTCTTTTACGCTGGGGATTAAAAAGAGTATGTGTGTGATAACAACTGTTTTTTTTAAAGAATAACTGTCTATGTGTATGGTCACAAACAAGCATACAGTCCATTTGATGGTAATTGGATGTTGTGGCCCATATGCCGCGGCCACACATATCCTGACAACGCGAATATTCGTGTTATCGCGATGTATGTAACTACATATTCTTGAATACTTCATCATTTCGTGCGAAGCCGCAAGCACATCGCTTCGCTGTCGGTAAACTCTCACACATCAAAGCGTTTTATCGCGATGAACTTTGCTTTTGCGGCGACACTTCAGGCGGCCCACAGACATCGTGCGTAGCGGACGTAAATTAGAATATACGACGTATTTTCAACACAGCATTTTAGAAGTAATGAGAAGATAAATAATTTGATGAGATATTTTGGGTAAATAATGCAGCTGTTTATAGCTGTCCCCTGTTATCAAAAACGTAGTTAAAATAATTATTCGATGCCATATAATATAGAGCGAAAGCGGCGTCCACTTTGTGTTCAGCTTGTGTTTATTGCGATAAACTTTACAACGCGCAATATTATTTTGTGTTTAGCTTGTGTTTATTGCGATAAACTATCGATAAACTTTACAACACGCAGTATGGCCAGGCACCTTCGCCGTAGGCTGAAGGCGAAGTGTTATCGCCAGAATTATATCGCGATGTGTGTGGCCTAGGCAATAGACATCTACATTTATTCTAGATTAAGAATCAAAATGCAGAAGCGTTGTCACCTCTGAGGACTGAGATGGAATGCCTAATTTCCAGTAAAAAGGGTCCGGATCTCTACACTCACCATACGAAACACGGCAGCATTAAGCTGCTATTTAACGCTGGTATTGTGTGAGAGCGTGGTCCTACGGGGGTGGAGCCGAGCCATTGGTGCTACAAGCATGATATGTGCAGCGTGGCTGTAGCACTTTTGTGTGGTGTTCGGTCAGTCGAAGCAGTCGCAAGTGACGCTGCTGCACTTCATCGTGCGCACATACATGCGTGCGCGCGGCGGCGCGCTGTCGGAGCGCTGCGTGCTGCCGGTGCCGGAGCCGGGCGACGTTGTGCGTGCTGCCGCGCTCGACTTCGCCGACGTGGCCGCGCACCTGCAAGCGCTGCGCACACGCCTGCAAGGTACTTTATTTTTTATTTTTTTGCCAGTGTCAACTAATCACAGTCACAGAATACCAGCGTAAAATAACAAATTGCAGAGATTCTTCACTGGTAACTTTTCTTGTTGTTTATAATCGAGTAGAATAAAGCTTATATATAAATTATTGTTAATAATTTATATATAGATGTGTATTATATTATTGCGCGCCACAGTTGATGGCACTAGCGCCATCTGGTATCAAGTATCTGAAACAGGAGTGTCAAGATCTTTTTGGAACTCTCCCAACAACGCCATCTAGTAACAAATATAAGAATTAAGCTTTCTAGAAAGCCCCACACTCGAACTTTATGCGCCTGGTCGGTCGGGGCCCGTATTTGCTGAAATATTCTGGATGTTTCGGTGGAAGAGCCCTATTATAAAGCCGTTGATATTCGCGATCGGGGCTTTATTGAATTTGGCGATACAAGCGAAGCTTCGGGGCGAAATAAAGTGAACTAAAAGTGAATTTTTTTTTAAGTTTTAATTGGTGTTCGGTAATTAAAGTGTTAATTTTTGTAATTTAATCGGCAGGTTTTATTGTCACGAACCCTAAGCTGGTAACAATATTATTAAAATAAAATGGAACATACTCAAGAAAAACTACTTGACAATTAATAGTCCCAAAGTCAGGTAGCACACTAGTTTTAATTTAAATCTTTAATTAAATGAGGAAATAAATACGCAAAATTTGTATACAGAATTTTGTTAATAATTATTATAAATATAAAACAGATTGAAACATAAAAAGATTATAACGCCGAATTCGTTGACGGTTTTTCACTTTAACCAATTTTTAAACCTGGTAGGATTTGACTTTCATAGGAGCTAGAAAATATGTTTAATAATAAATGATTAAGTTTATCAATATATGAACAGTGTATATAGTATAAAACATTTATATTTTAGTCTATTTAAATGTTTCAAATATTTTTAATGGAATAAGGGTGTGACAAACAAGCACACTATCCACCTGATAAATGCTGTGGTCCATAGACATCTACATCTATCCTCGACTAAGAATCAAAATACAGATACGTTGTGATGGAATACTTGATTTCCAGTAGACATGTTCGCCGTTTCTCTACGCTCACCATATGGAAACAGCAACATTAAAATACTATTTTATGCCATTCGTGCTACGATAATAATGTAGCTGCAGCATTACACTACTACGTATAGTTATTTAAACAAAAACAAAATCCTTACGTGAAATATAAATAAAAGACTTCAACATGTCTACTGTTGATTTTTATGTTTGTTTACCAGTCAAAACCAATGTTTGTCTTTCACAGCATGCAGAGAACAAACAAAGAAAGTAATTGAATGTGACGCCCAGAGAAATGAAGACGGCGATTCTCCGTCAGGGGAGAACACTAAGAGACTTGAAGTGTTTAAAGAGAAAATGACTACATTCCTTGACGCGGCCGAGGAGAAACTTAAGACTGAGAATGATAATTTAGAAGAATGCCGTGCAAAGTTTATTGCTACGATGAAATTCTATCAGTATACACCGAAATGTGGCAAAGTGGAGGACTGTGAACCCAAGGAATTCTTTTCGCTCTGGACGTCGTTTTGTAGTGATTTTAAAGACATTTTCAAGAAGGAGGAACAAATCGCCATAAAGGAAAAGTAAGTATCATAATTATGTATTTTGTCAATACTAACTTGCCTATATAATAAAAAGATAATAACACTGGTCAACACTAGTCATGCCACACGAACTCTGATAGCCAATATCGTTTTTGTCACCTACCCTCATTAGTAAACCGCAATAGTTTTATTTCGATTGCCCTCAGATTTCTCTGTGAGGTGTTGATTCGTATAACCAGTACTACAGTGATAAACGCAAACAAACGGTCGCGAATAAACAGTCGTTAAATTAATTGTTTTTGTATTAGTTTAAATTTAGTGAACTATAAGTAATTGCTGTGATTGTGTGAATATGCCGATAAAGTGTAATAAAACCTTACTCATTTTGTTAAATTTGTGGAATTAGCTTTTAAATACAAAAACGAAATTTCACTAAATTTGTAATGGAGAGTTATCGTCAGTATTTTGATTTTTCTGTAGGCAAATTTTGTTGCCCCCATATTTGTTGCATATCCTGTGTTAAGAATTTAAGTGATTGGAAGAAAAGGTCCGGTCGTATGCCGTTTGCTGTACGAACCAAAAGATCACGTTTCGGACTGCTATTTTTGTCTTACAGATATAAAAGATATTGATTCTGAAAAAACACATAGTTATCCTAATTTACAGTCAACTAAGAGACCAGTACTTCATAGTGACAATTTACCTATACCAGTTACATCTGCGTTCGTTGATTGTTGGTGACGACGATGAATCTGAGTTTGAAGAAATCTCAAACAAGTCGCACTTGATAACTTAAGAAGACCTAAACGACTTAGTTCGCGACTTGAATTCGTCAAAAAACAGTCAGAACTCTTACGATGAAAGAATAGAATTTGCTACATCATGAAACTAATATAAACAATTTTCGATATCGTGACGAACTCTTCAGATCATACTATTCTCAGGATGGAGACTTGGTGTATTGTAATTATATAAATGGGGTGAATCTCTCATTTGAAATAATTTGAAGAATTTGAAAATCTAATTTGTACCCTCGGTTGAAATTTAGAATCGTTTGGCAGGAATTTGGGGGAGTAAGATGTTTTATTTGGTAGAGGGTTGGTCGCCGATTATAACGATACCACTCACATTAAAAGGTAATACACCGTTCTTGAGAAAAAACAAAAAGAAAATCCCATAGAACTAACCTACAAATGACAACTCAAAATGAATTAAGGGGTGCGAGGTGGTGGAGAGGGAGGCGGGGGAATCGCCCCCCACTTCCATATCCTGCCGGACATGCTTTTTTATAAATTTTTAAAAATCTAATTTTGGAGTTATGTTTTTGTAATAGTGTTTTTGACTATAAACCTGATTTATGGGAGGAGAGAGTTGGGGGAGGGAAGCACCACGTAGCGCAGTCGAGGGAAGCCCGGTCGACGGGAGCCCCGATTTGCGGGGCTCCTAATTCTGAGTGGTTTACAAAAAATAACCACGATGGCGTGATGGAATGGCGGGGTCTATTCGCTCGTTTCGTTCGTTCACTCGATCTCGCCAAGGATCTCCTAGGTGTGCGTTGTTTGTAGTTAGCAGTGGCTGCAAATGACCGCCGGTTCGACAAACTCCTCCGATCGTTGAGTCCCGTGATTCCGTGAGGCGTCGAGGTCACCGGCCCCTAGGTGATTCTTGGCACTTTATGCGCTCCGTGCATCCTGTGCCTAGTCGCGTCGTAAAGTGCCACCTCCGCACTTCCCCCAACCCTTTTGCTATAAAAGGGGTAGGCAGTGCCCAGTGTGATTACGCCAGCACATTTTACACCTTACCATCCGCGTCGCGCTTCGTGCCGAACGGCTGGTATTTTAAACAGGGCCTTTTATAGATTACCTGACTGACTTAGGTAGGTTCTCAGTATGTCCGATAAGGACAAGGGGGAGCCCCCACCTAAACCTAAACCAAGAAGACCACCCGACCGTCCTGGTGTACTTGACCGACCAATCGCGTATCGCGATATCTTTTATCCGGAAAGGACTCGAGTAGTATCCTCCTACTCGCAGATCCCAACCAGAAAACCTTCTTCACCGGGTAAGGAGCCCGCACCGAGGACCGCGCTCTCGCCCATCGTACCTGAAGGTACGACTGGGCGGGAACCGTTCCCCCAACACCAGCGGACCAAAAAGACGATGAGAAGGCACACACCACCAGAGACAGCAGCATCCCTCCAGGAGAAGAGGCGATGCTTCGGTTCTTCAAACTCCTCGGGTTATTCGACATCCGAGGGAGAATATGACCACCAACCGGAAAAACCGATAAGGAGATCACCACCCAAATCGCCATCGCCGACCAAACCCCCCCCCCCCCCAGAACACCGGAACAACACACCAGTATGGATGCTGCTGATCTGGAACAGGGAGGAGAAGGGTCATACGGGTAGAGTGCCACCACGTACGCGACCCTAGCGCACTCGAGTACATCTGCCGGACAGTCACCGTCCGCGCCTACAACCAACCCGTCAGGCTGACCATCGGACGATGGCCAAAGGCCTTCAACTAGTTATGCTCAACTGGTAGCTGCCCCGGCAGTATCAAGGACAAAGGCAGCTGAGGCACCTAAACCGCCGGAAGAATCGGCCAAAAGATACCCACCTATAGTGGCTGAGTGCTTACCGGACTGGACGAAGCACTTCGAGGTCCTTAACAAGAAGTTGGGCCACCCACCGAATGCTCGTCCGTTCGGTAAGGGGGTCAGATTCACCCCTCAGAGTCCGGAAGAATTCCGGACGGTGCAGAGATACTTAGTGGAGATGACTGACAAAGTACCAGCTATGTCCTGGTACTGTTACACCCCCGAAGAGACAAGCCCACAAAAGTGGAAATACGGGGGGCTACCAGTAGGCACGGATCCAACCGCGATATAGGGGGCTATCAGGGCCCAGGGGTTCCCGATCAAGTATGTAAAAGGGATCCCCCCCCCCACGTATAGGCAGACCTGGGTGCCTCTACTTCGCACAGCTGGACCACCTGAGCCTGGAGCGGCCTAAACGAACTTTATCAAATCGACGAGCTCCTCTTCATGAGAGGAGTCGTCATAGAGGCCTGGCAAGGAAGAGCGGGCCCTTCACAGTGCCACCGCTGCCAGGCCTTTGGACACGCATCCACTAATTGCTTCAGGCCAGTGAAGTGTGTTCGCTGTGCCGGAGATCATATTGCCAGCAACTGCCCAAGGGGTAGAGACGAGGAACCGAAATGCGCAAACTGCGCTAAGAATCACACCGCCAATGATCGCCGCTGCCCAGTCCTGAGGAGGATTGCAAGGAAGCAGGGGATTGCTCTACCGGGACTACTCCCAGAGGAGCCCAAGAGGGTCCCCCAGAGTCGTCCCAGGGCCGTGGTCCAGGAAAACGGGTGGACTACAGTTAGAGGAAAGGGAAGGCTACCTGCCCCCCCCTCTACCCGTCACGGCACCCATAGAAACGGTGATGCCCACCACTACCACATCGAAAGCATTCACCGGGGCGACTCTCCAGCCCCCCGCTAACGACGCCACAGAGCGACAAACCACTCAGTGGAGTAAGCGGGGGAGGAAGAAGAAGAAGAAGGTGCAGCCTCCTCCTCAGGCAGCAACCTCTACCCCAACCCCAGCGGTAAGTATAGCCCAGGCGCAGGTTACCAAGGAGGACAAGAAAGCCAGAATAGAGTGCCAGAAAGGGCTCTATCAGAAAATAGAGCCCGCTCTACACATAGAGCGCGCTCTACCCACACGCAAAGAGCAGTAAACCAACTCCCGAGACCAGCGCCAACTCCTGCACAGGCACCTGGAACACCTTCAGTCGGCTTCGAGACTGCTGACGCCATCCAACGTTTGGTTGGCATAGCAATCGAAGTCGGCAGCCAGGTCCTGGCAGATATCAGAGCCGGGACTGATCCCATTACAGCAGTCATGAAGGCGCTGGCAAACCTCCTAGCTCGACACTATGGAGGAATCTAACCTGCGCCTCCTCTACTGGAATCCAGGTGGAATACAGCAGAAGCTACAAGAACTCCGCACCGTCGCCCAACAACAAGACGTACAGGTCATCTTGCTGGGAGAGACGAAACTAAATCCGAGCACACGCATAAAGCTGCCTAATTACCATCTTTATAGGAGGGACGAGGTCACCTCTCAAGGGGCCGCCTACAGAGGGACAGCGGTCCTAGTGAGAAGGGACATCGTCCATCAAGAACTTGACCTACCGGATTACCAAACTATGCGCTCTATCGGCATAAAAATGGAGGCGGCGGGCGAGGAACTTAGGATCTACGCAGCATACCGCCCGCCAGGGACTCCATTTTGCTCCTCAGACGTCCGGACGGTAATGGAAGGCGAAACACCGACCATCATCGCCGGGGACCTAAACGCCAAACACCCGGCGTGGGGATCTAGACTGATCAACCCGCCGGGTCATGCACTTTTTGAAGACGCCGAAAGATACGGCTATGACGTTTTAGGTCCCGAAGAACCCACTCATGTTCCGACGGATCCACGAAGTCGTCCGGATGTATTGGACGTCGTGCTCGCTAGGAACATCAACTACCCGATAGTGGTAGAGGTGCTGTACGACCTGGACTCACAGCACCTCCCGATCTTAATTACCCTTGGCCTAAAGGCGGTGACTACGCCGCCCAGAACAATTAAGACACGTGTCGACTGGAGGCTCTACCACAAACACCTGCAGGAGAGACCTCCAGCACACCACCCCTTAAACACAGCGGACGACGTAGAGGCCGCAGCCACCAACATGACAAAGGCGATACAAGAGGCCCTCAACGCTGCCTCTACGATCGTCTCGATGTCTACAAGAAGGGACGATCGGCCGCGACACATTAGCGTGCAGATCAGGAGAAAAAGGGCTTTAAGGAGACTCTGGGCGCGTACTCGCTGCCCGAGAATCAAGACGCAATTGAACACCTTGTCGGAAGGAACTGTCGGTTGCAGTCCAGGCACACAGAGGAGATGCCTGGGAGCGGCGCATATGGAAGGCGGAAAAGCACGATGCGTCGCTCTATAAACTGAACCGACAGTTA